ACACACACACACACACACACACACACACACACAAACTGAGTATATAAATACCAAAATGATCTAAACTCAGTGTATAGATACAAAAAGGATCTCTACAAAGTCTCTAGATCATTTTTGTTTGTTGAGTTTGCATCGTTTCCTTTCTTCCATTCAGAGGGGATTCAGAGGGTATTTAGTTGAAGCTGTATTTTCTAATGCAGAATAGGTCATATTTAGAACATCATTTTATTTTATTTCTGTATTTTAAAGGAGGGTTATCTTTTTTTTTACTGGTTGTCACAGATTGTGTGCTACTACCAAAGTTCTTTTTGTACCATTGAGGTCTAATAAAGCCTGTTCATGAACATCTGAGAACCCTGTCTGGACCCGTCTGGAGGCAGAGTTCCTCCTTTTTGGAAATCAGAACATGGTCACCCTAAGTGTAGGCAGATTGCTAGCATTAGTTTTGTTTTTGTTGAAAGCATGGCTTGAAAAGCAGTGAGGATGTTGTGATTTCCGATGTCCATAAACGCAACACTCGTCGCTTACTGCGATGACGTGTCTCGAAAGTGCCGGAAGTTCTCAGTCTGTCCAAAATGGCTTATCAGACCCTACAACAGGAGTACTTACAGATTCCTGTTGTTACGAGGGCTTACACAACCGCCTGCGTCCTCACCACCGCTGCCGTGGTAAGGCGGGCCGCGGGCTGCCGGTGGACGGTGTCCGGGGGTGTCGCGGAGCTCCGCGGGAGCCCGGAGGCTGCTTCTCTGTTAGCCCACCGGCAGCAGCTGCGCGCGGCGTCCGTGTCCGAAACTGCCTCCTGACAGTTAGCTTAGTTTCCCGTGCTACGACAAGCTAGTTATGGTTAACTGAGGAACAAAAAAAAGGCATTTGAGCTGTGAGCCAACAAACGGCGTTTGACATACGTCATGTGTGTGTCCGATATTACATATAAATGTCTAATAAGGAGGGGAAAAGGCAGGATGGAGGATGGCCGGTTTCAGTTTGACACGTATGCCTTCCGTAGCTTCTGCAGGGCGACCAAACTCTGTCATGTAAATGTTATGTACAATGAACAATGTGCAGATGTGTTGGCTGATCTTTAATGATACGTGTTAATTTCTTGTAGCAACTAGAGATCATCACACCATTTCAGCTCTACTTTAATCCAGATTTGATCCTAAGAAATTACCAGGTGAGTTGTGTGACTGTCAGATGGGTTTGGGAGCAGAAACTGTGGGATTTTCATCTGATGATGTTTGATTTG